CTACAGCCCACTTCTTCGGATGCATTATATTTTTCCGAAGAAGTGGGCTGTAGTCCACGAAAGCTTATGCTCTAATAAATTTGTTAGTCTCTAAGGTGCCACAAGTACTCCTGTTCTTCTTTTTATTAAAAATGTCTTGGCGTTGTTTTGAACCAGAACACCAGGATTTCTCCTTGAGAAGATGTTGAAATGATACATTTGGACAATTTCAAAAAACACCAGTCAAAAAAAGGTGTTGAAACCCGACAAGTTAGCATTTTCCAATGGGGAAAAAAAATTAGTCAAAAAGGGCTGAAAGCTCAAAAAGGGGTTAGGCTCTTAACTTAGGTTTTAGCTCATAAAATGAACATCAGTGGAAGTTAGGAGCCAAACTTGTGAACATTCAGCCCCAAATTCCCAACCAGCTGAACTGCAAAGCAAGTGGCAGACAAACTGTGTTGTCACTGCAATTCACAGGATCATAGCAATCACTTGCTTTTAAACAACACCGTAAGCACACAATGGTGGATTACTGGAATTCCACAAAACTCTCTCATGCCATTTTTGGCTTTGCAACAATGAAAAATGCATTCTCTTGCTTCGGGAAAATCTATCCGAATGAACCCCTAGCGGATCTGGACTGCACAGGTTAGCACGGCAGCCCTGCTCACCCTCTTGGTTCTCAAAGAGTGAATCTTTGGCCTTGGAAACTCAGACCAGCTTTCCTGAAAACTGCATTAAAATGAGAGGTGGTAGAAATTTTTCATTCAAAAACTGAAAATGCTATATAAAAATCTGAAAAAAAACCTTCAAATAAATTTAAAAAATGGTTCCTTGTCCCAACCTGCAGGATGAAAACTATTTCAGTGTTTTTTTCACCAAATATTTAATAGAATTTTAAGGCCAAGACAGGACCATTGTGATCATCCAGTCCCACCTCCTGCAGAGAACAAGCCAGAGACCCTCAGCCAGTAAACTCTTCCTCATGCCCTTCCTTCTGTTGGAGCTACAGCAGATCTTGTAGAAAGACCTTACTATTTTCCAACCAGCATTGATCAGTACAGAAAAGTGGTGGGCTTCCCCACTGCTTTGCGTGCACCTCCTATAACCACTGCTCCCTAACTATCCTGCTCTTGCTCAGTTGTACCATATTTTAATCCTTTTTGACAGCCTGGCAGCCATTAGTAGCCAACCAGAGTGCAGGAATTTGCATCGTCACTGAGTTATTTTGTGATAACTACATTGGGGTAAGGCAAATCTCTCTACTCTGGCTACTACGGTCCCTCTGCTCCTACACCAAGAATTTCCAAGCTGTTTGCCAGGAGACGTGTTCTCCTCCCTTCCCCAGGCATTCCCCACCACTCAAACCTGCTCCCAGAAGGTACTTCCTCCTGAGAATGCATAGAGAGGTTTATTACCCTGCACAGGGGAGCCAACCTGCTGCAGACCTCGCCCCCCCCCTCCCCTCCCCAGAATGGCCATGCTGCAGCAACACGCTTGGCTATTTCTAGTGGCACATTGGGGCTGTGTGGGGAGGGAAGTGATGCCGGCCTGACAATAGGCTTACGTGGCTGTTGTGCTGGAAGAGGGGGCTGCTGGGAACGGCTGCATCACCTCTTCGGAGTGGATCCCGCTGTCTCGAATGGCTGTTGTGCTGGGTGTCTGAGAAACCTCCTGGCTGGCACTGGCACACTGAGAAGCCAGACCTTTGTATAACTTAACCAGGGACGACCTAGGGGAATTGAAATTCATCACCAATAAACAGAACCAGGCAGAAACGGAGCAAGAGATCAGCGGAAGCAGCACAACCTGTGTTCGTTTTTAAGGCACATGGCAAGTTTGCTCATCGTTTCAGTAACCGCCTCATTTATGAGAAAGGGTGATGTCTTTGTGATTACGGCCCTTATGTGGGACTTGGGAGATCTAGGGTTAATTCCCAGCTCAGCCTCAGACTTCCTGTAGGACATCAAGCAACTTACTTAACCCACTGTGCTTCAGTTCCCCTTCTGCTGGGACAATAATTCTGCCTTGTCTATTTAGGCTGTAAGGTCTTCAGGGCCTATTCAAAGCTATTTCAGCAAGCGGTGGCTAAAGTCTGCTCAAACCACGTAGCCTTGATTTGCTGGACACTTGCAACTGAACCCATGTCTATCCCCTGCTGTCAGCAACAGGTAATTTTTCTAGGGTGGACCAGGCCTATGAAACTAAGGAGTCAGTTGTTTAAATTAATGGCTGGTACATTTAGAAGAAATAAAAGGAACTTCTTTTCTTTCTCTGAACCAGCAGGAAGTGGCTGCTCCAAATCGGATCCAAAAAATTTGACGACAAATGTTCTGATCTAACAGGCGCTAGATCCCCAGCTGGTGGAAATGTGACCATGTGACCGCACTGGAGCAGTGGGCCCATGGACACCAACTGAGAATCTGGCCCTTTGTTTCCACCTGCTCCATCATTTCTCCCTGAGAGTACCGGGCCAGATCTTGTGCCAGACTTACTTCTTCAGCTTTTTCCGTTTCTGTATGAGCAGGTCTTCGTTGCACTGTAATAGCAGGCTGTAGTGCGAGATGAAAATGCGGAAGCGCTGCACACACACCAGGAGCAGGTAGTAATCGGGGTGCTCTTGCTCAGTGTACTTCAGGATGTTCTGGGGTGCAAAGAGAAGCAGACTGGACGATGTCCTCGCTCTTTTCATGCAAAGGCGCTAACGTGACTTTGGGTTAGTACTAAGGGCAGGTCTACACCACGGGATTAAGTCGACCTAAGTTACGCAACTCCAGCTATGTGAATAATGTAGCAGGAGTCAACATACCTTAGGTCGATTTATTGTGGTGTCTACACCACGCTGGGTCAACAGGAGAAACTCTCCCGTTGACTTACCTTACGCTTCTCGTTCCGGTGGAGTACCGGAGTCGACGGGAGAGTGATCTGTGGTCGATTTAGTGGGTCGTCACTAGATTCCCAGTGGATTGATCACCACAGCAGACCGTCTGGACTATGTCCTCGCTCTTTTCATGCAAAGGAGCTAATGTTACTTTGGGTTAGTACTAAGAATCAACCAACTGCATGAGGCTCTGAAAATGCATTGTGTGAACTCTTTGAGATGGGGGTTGTAGGCATTTGGACAGTGCCTAGGACAATCGGGACCATCATACAAATACAACAGGCTCCCTGGGCCTTTATAGCACTGCTGCTGCCCTTCTCCCTTGGGGTCTGAACTGTTTCAGTGAAGCCAGAGCCAGCCTTTCCTTTTGGGATAGGCCCAAGACCCAGTTCTCACACCACCCTGGCTGTGATTGCCCCAGTCTGCACAGTGCTAGCCTGAGGATTTAGAGGAGTGTCAGCAAGAAGATGCTTTTCATCCCCAACAAACCAATTTCCTTGCTGCAAGAGCCAGCTGTTTGTGCCGCACTTGTCCGGGGGTCATTCTTGTTTGGGCGCTGCTAGCCCTGCCCCCCTAGGATTTTGTATGTCCCCTGTTACAGAGAAACGGGATGCCAGCAAGGAAAGGGTTACCCGTCCCCTCAATAGCGGTCACCAACCTAAACAATGTGTGCGTGTCTTCCTCCGGTAGCCTCTTGTGCCGTTCCTTTACCACCTCCCTGGCTCCTCCCAGGTCTAGCCCTCTGCAGGCTGCTCCCATCCTGTTTGCATTCTCTCTCTGCTCCTTCCCTGGCATTGACTCTCACAGCCACACCCCAGGTTACATTCTTACCCCCCCCCCGTCTCTCCATGTCCTCCTCGTCTCTCGAACACCCCTGTAAAAGCACTGAGTCCTAGCCAGAGCATCACCACTCCACAGGGGACGGATTAGCACTGTTTGCAAATTGGGAAACTCAGCTAGAGGGATCAAGCAGTGACCCAGCCATGGGCAAGGGGTGGGCCGATATCGGAGCCGGACCTGGACAACAGGAGCCCTTCACTTCCATGCCAGTCCCACTAGGCCATGCTGCCTCTCACACTAGTAAGCCACCACCTTTGTGGCTAGAGACCATGCTATCTACTCAGTAAAGGAGAGGACTCGGCTGTACATAGTTGGCTAGTAGTTCCCAGCAGCCCTAGCCCAGTCACGGGAAGCCCACACGTCCCCCACAGCTGTGTGAGGGTCTGGGGTTTCTCAGAATGGGGGGCATTCCCGGGACGCAAAGGCTGTCCCGGCCCTGAGGAAACTGCCAATCATGCGAGAGCCTCCTAGAGACCAGTGGCTTCCACTTTCAAGGGCCCAGAGATTTCGCCGGGTGGCTGCAGAGGCCAGCTCTGAGAGAAGTGACATGCAGTGTAAACGCCAATACCAAGTGTTATCCTTACAGGGCAATAGGGTGACCCGGGCAACTTTCATGCGTTAGTCCTACCTGTAAGTGAATAAGGTATTCGGGGATACGCTGGACTATATGAAAGAACAGCATGTAGAGGTCAGACTTAATTTCTTCTTCCACCTGAATTGGAGAAAGTAGATTTAGCATCCCTATGGCATGTAAGTTCCCAGTGCAGTTTGTATTCACGTGATGCTGTACAGTACACACAGCAACGCGCAGGGAGTGACAGATGAATGACAAGGGGATGAGATGACAACAGGCCCAATCATGTTATGCTAAGGGCTGGACTGTGAGCCCCTTATGCCCACTGTCAATAGTCACTTCTGGGACTAGTCCCACTGATTTCTATGGAACTGCTCAAGGTGCAGGGCACTACTCTGTGTGAATAAAGATATCGGCATCTGGCCTTTACAGACCGCCTGTCTCCCCTGGGTGATACCACAGGACTGAGCGATGAGCCATTAGACCCCTGGCATGAATGCAAAGAGGCTGGCAGCAAGGAGGTCTCAGGAAAGTCTTTCTCCAGGGCATGTGAAAGGTTTATCCATTCTCCTACATACCCTCCCAGGCAGTGGTCTGGATGGGGTGCAAGGGAGGATTTCCTGGCGGGGGAGAGGTTTTTTTTTACAGCTATTGATCCAGTTGAACTTCTGGATGTAACTTCATTCAAATACATGGTGACATTAGAATTAGACAGCTGCCTTTGGTAACTCGGAACAACCAATCGATCAACAAGCCCATCGTTCAAGAAACCAGTGTTTGGTAATGAAATAATTTGGTTAGCGGGATGGAAAAAAATGCCAGGAAGAAACCCTGGAAAATATGTTCCAACAGCTGTGGGAAGTGGGGCAAGGATAGCGGGAGGGTCAGTTTGCAAACAGAGATTGGGTGGTTTGGACCACAGCCTGGGGTAATCCAGGGACAAGTTCAGATATTTCACAGAAAATCCAGAATCTCCCGGCATTCTCAGGCTGCCAGTGTATAATTAGCAATGGCATGGTGATGCCGAAAGGTGTCAATGGCTGCCATCAATAGTATCTTGGGGCTAAAGACAATTGCAGACCTGGATTTGATGATTTCAGAAGTGTGTCTTGTGGTTCTCTGTGCTATGTTTCATGTGCTCAGGATGAACTGACATCTATGTACTATTTCAACTGCCTGATTCCTTAGAGAAATTCCAGGAATACATTAATATTTGATTTGGCAAGCAGCTATTTTCCACTGTGGGGGGAGGGTACTGATTGTGTCTTCACTATTGCCAGTAATGACTGTGTGTCGTGGCGGATGAGTCTCTGAAATAACAGGTAAGAAATGTACCTCCTTCAGAATCACCACATGGATCAGTGAGATGCATTCCGGCAGGTCCCTCAAGTAAGCAATGTAGTAGTCCAGAAAATTGTTCTGAGGAACAAACCCAGAAATGCTCAGTAAGGAATGTTAGTGGTTTGAAATTCTGCAGGGTTAGCCCCAGGTTTACTGTTGGCTCCGAGCAGAAGGGGCAGGGGAATGGGGAGGGATAGCACACAGCTTAGTTATGTTAGTTTGTTAGTATCTGTACATGTACTTGTAACCCTTACCCAGTCTGAAACAGTCACAACCAAACAATTGTAACATGGTGCCTGTCAAGCTGCAACAGTCAAACCAAGCTACAACAGTGGACATGTGCAGGGCCTTCACCCAGTTCCAGCAAACTCTTTATCTAGTTGTCCTGTGTTGTGGTATGGTCAGGATCTGAGCGAAGTCTTGGTGGCAGTGTAGATAAGACCTAGGGGCCGGCTGAGGCTACAACTGGAGCCCACAACGGTTTGGCACCATCTGACCCAGTTACCATGGGGCACCGTGTTCACATTGTAGATTTTTATTTATTTATTTTTGCATGATGTTGCTCTGTTGGCCCATTCAGACGAACCATGCTGCACTGCCACAGATTTACCAGTGCAAAGGCCCATGAGGGTTTAGGTTTTGGTCACAGTCACACAGCAAGTGAGTCCCAGTCCTGTGCCCCTGCACCCAAACTCCCTCCCAGAGCCTGCACCCCGCACCTCCTCCTGTACCCCAACCTCCCGCTCCAACCTGTTGAAAGTGAGTGAGGATGGGGGAGAGCGAGGGATGGAGTGAGCGGGGGCAGGGCCTCGGAGAAGGGGGCAGGGCAAGGGCTGAGAGGGGTGGCTTGGGGGTCCCTGAAAATTTTAAAATCAAAATGGGGGTCCTCTGGTTGCAAAAGTTTGAGAACCACTGGACTAGATGACCTCTTGAGGTCCCTTCCAGTTCTGCATTTCTATTATTCTATAATGGATGTACCATTTTTGACTTGAACTGGTATGTAGTACGTAGTATGGTATGTAGACTTGTTATCCCTAGAGTTCTTTTAAATTTGTTATACCGCCAGACACGTAATTACGTTGGGGGCGGGGGATGGAAATCTGCAGTTCTGTTTGATCCAAACACACTATTATACATCGTTAAACTAAAGCAATCCTGATGCCTTTGTCGGGTGTTTTCTGTCACAAGCACTAACATACCTCATCGTTTGTTAACTTCAGGAATATGTCTCCCAGGATTCCTGGACGTGGCCAACTCAGCACCCTCTCTTGCAGCATGTGAAGTAAGTCTACATGCTGCTGGACCAGGTATCGTAAAGAACCGGGGAAGAAACTAAAGAGGGAAGATAACAGATATGATTGCACAGAGGAGTATAGAAATTCATCTAGAAAAAGAATCCGATTCCTAGGCTTTGGGAACCCACAGATTCTGCTCACATTCATGGGCCAGCAGTTTAAAATGTGCTGGGTTTGCTTTACAAGGTATTATTAATCATTGTTATTATGGTAGAGCCTATGAACCGGTGATGAATGATGCCCCATTGTGTGAGGCGCTGTACAAATACAGAGTTGTAGGCTGTCCCTGCACCAAAGAGCTTGGAATCTAGTGTTTTATGGTTCCAGTTCACATGCTTTTGCACTCATTGGGCCTAATGCTCCATTGCCTTGTGTAACCGACTCTGCCCAACAGGGCACGAACCTACACAGCTCAAAGCATGAGCCATTATCACTTGAGTTAGAGGACTTGGGCCCCACTCCTGCAACCACATATGGAAGTAGGATGGGACTCATAAACCTTGCCTCATTCACTGTGCACTTTACAAGCTGTACCTTATAAGGAGAGCTGGTCAAAACTTCCATCCTGTGAGAAATTCCAATATTTTGACAACTGTTTTCACTCCAAATCAGGATGGAAAATGCATGGAAACATCAAAAACCTTTCAGTTTAGAAATATCAAAATGTTTTGGTTTGTTGAACCAAACTGAATCTGCGTGATGGGGGTTGTAGTTTGGATGCCTCATACCTCCAATCTCTTCTATGGGCTGGGCTTCCTCCTCAGACTACGTCTCCCAGAATGCACCTATGTCAAGGGACTCCCACAATGCATCACCGCAATTTAACCGGAGAAGAGACCATGGTGCATTGTGGGAGATGTAGTCTGGTCAGAGAGCCCATAGAGGAGAACGAGGTCATGAGGTACCTGAACTACAATTCCTATGAGTCACTGTGGCAGCTCAGGTGGACACAGATTAGTTTCAAAATGACCTGAAACAAAACATTTCCATTTAATTCAACAAACTGAAATGTTTAGATTCAGGATGATCTGACCCAAAACGAAATATATAGTTTGATTTACCTGACAGAACATTGAAAAATTTCAGCAAAATCTCAATTTTCCCATGGAAGATTTCAATTGTGCAGAAACAGTATTTTCCAACAAAAATTGTTTGGATGGAAAATTACCAACTAGCTCCAAAGGCTGAGTGGGGGGAGAGAAGGTATGATATTGTATTGTATTTTATGATAAAACGCATGTGATCATGTCATTAAAGGTTGTAATGCGGTATGTACATGGAAAACATGCCAAGCTTCCTATCAACATACAGCGAGGACATGGCAGAGATAGTTTTGAAGCATGTGGCCATGAGGAATATGCAGAGATCCTGAAAAGAGGAAAAGGTAAAAGAAGAACCAGAGAAATGGGGAGGAAACAGACATATGAGACACAGGAGGTGGAAAGAAGAATGACAAGAGACAGACAGACGGGGGAAATGCCTTTTAGCCATGTATGATACTGAATAATGTATTTTATATTCAACTATAATGGGACAGCAGTAACTGGTCCATAGTTAATGCTAAAGCCAGCAACTTCCAGTGGCGGAGGGAGAGGTGTGGACTGTGAATCTGAGATTGGGGGGCTTTGTTCTCAGGTCTCAAAGAGTGGGTGCTGGGGGAGACAAGAGGGAGGAGAGCAGGATGGGCAGAGAGGGAGGATTAAATGAGGTGAGTCAAAGAGCATGGAGAGGGGACTAGAGGAGGCAAGAAATGTTTGGAAATAAAGCATAATATTTTAACAGGGAAGGTAATTAACTCTTGGAACAATTTACCAACAGTCATGGTGGATTCTCCATCACTGACCATTTTAATATCAAGATTGGGTGATTTTTTTAAAAGACCTGCTCTAGGGATTATTTTGGGGCAGTCCCTTCTGGCCTTGGAATCTATGAATTGATGAAAGTAGAAAGGCAGGAAAAGGCAGAATCTTTTACCCAGGTTAAACATTTTAAAGATCTAAAGCTTTCTGGCTATAAAAAACATTAGGCACTTAAAGGTTTCAAAGTGGCTAAGAGAAAGTTCCCAAAATGTTTTTGGGGAAAAAAGAACTCTGAATGTTGAAAAGGCCCTTTTATAAAAGCCATTGTGACAGTTACGATACCTTCTCTCTTTGGTGTTCCTCTTCACGTCTAAGCCTTGCAATGTGGCTTTGATCTTCAGGATCAGGGACAGGTTGATGACATATTTCCTCTCAGACTCCAGCAGCTCCAAAGCGATGCTCTGTCTTTTGGCTTCAACAAAAAGTTTGATTTAAAAGAACATGTTAAAAGCTGCACGCTTGTGTTTGACTGGAGAGTGGGAAGGGAAAGGCTGAGGAAGACTGAAGGAGCTTCCTCTTTTCATGTAATTTTCCTCACAAATATCAAGTGCTAGCCCTGATCCTGCAAAGTGCTCCACAGAGGATCAGGGCCACAGTCTATTTACAAAGGAAGACTGGAAACAAGCATGTCTCTCCCCTCAACCTCCAGAGTTTCTGAAAGATCAGTTTTTTTAGAAATCATAAACAGGAAATTCACATCGAATTTTCTACATCTCTAGTAATTATATTACCCTATAAATCAAATACACTATTCCAGTGAGAACAGTCAGGGCCAGATCCTTAGCCTGTTTGCACCACTTAGAGCTGCCCTAGCAGAGAAGTTGGGATTTCCTTTGGCGTGGAAGAACCCACAGTTGACGCAGAACTGTCTACGCCACCTCTAGCTCTAAGAGGCTGTTACCAGCCAACATCATAAGCTAGAGCAGCCCCGAGGCCGCTCTAACGTATGACAGGGGCTGAATTAGCCCCTGGCTGCCCCAAGGACTGCAGTTGTTCCCTGGACTGGCCTTGTGACTGCCACTCAAAACACTTCACCAATGAGGAGAGTCCAGCCCAAAAGTGAGTATAATGGGGGTACTGGCTCTTTAAGACTGATGTGGGGAGTCTCTAGCATATTCACTGGATTTAGGAGTGTGGCAAGAAAAAACAGCCACTGAGAAAGCAGAAGTGATTTCAGGGAGGAAGCAGAGCCAGACATCTGCTGCTGTTCAGGGCCTGAGACTGAAGCCTATTCTTGCAGCCCAGAGGGAATGTTGGGGTTAATACTCCTGGGCCTGCTAAGAACTGTAGGGCTCTGAAGCAAAGCATGCTGGGAAGGATACACAGCATATATAATCGGCTTCCTCCCGCAGAAGAGGCATAGACTTTGAGGGAATGGGATTAGGAAGAATAGTCTCTCGTAGCAGAGATGGAGAAGCAAAACTATTTGCTTCTTTGTACTTTGCCATAGATGCTCTGTGACCTCAGAGCGAGACCAGGCAGAAGGAACAATCCCAGGGACAGAAAGTTTGTCCTTTGCCAAAGATATTAAGGACTGAGGAGCAAGGCTACAAGGAGGGTAAGGTTTTTTTGTTCTTTTTAAAGGACTCCACAGGCGTGGCCTGCTGTGAACTATAGGCTGTCCCAGGGAAAATTATGTACAATTGTAAAAGGACCTTTTAAAATGGAAATGGTCAGGCAACCTTCTCTCTAAAGGGCACGATAAATACTCTCTGTAATCTAACCAACACAGAATTGCACCAGTCTGTCTGGAGCCCCTCAGCAACACAGCACAGCCTTTCTAATTCCCGTTCCTACAGGACTGAGCCACATGGTCTTAGGCAGCTCCCTCCAAACTGAGGCAGGGCTTTGCATGCAGCCTTCTCTCAGGGGCTATCAGTCCATGGGGCAGTTACAAGCAGAGTTGTGTGAATAACGCATTATTCGATTTGCTGGCAATTCTGAAAAAAAAAATCTTTTCGGGTCAAACAAAACATTTTGTTCAACCTGAAACATTTTGTTTCAATATCAAGCCTTTCTGTAATATTTTTCATAGTTTAATCAAATTAAAGGAAGTCTCTAAAAGGAAATTCATTTCAAACCAAAACACTGAAATGGTTTGTTTTGAAAATGTCAAATTTTGGAAAAATTTGGAACTCCTATGGATCGAAACAGGTCAGCCAAACCAACATGAATTCTCAAGATGCAGTGGTGTTGCCACATCTGCATTTTTTGCCAAAAAAGGTTTCGGCTGAAAATTTCACCCACCTCATCGTCGTCATGGCAAATCCAAATTAACAGCAGAAACCGGACAAGAATGTCAATGAGACAAGATGGGTGAGGTAATATCTTTCATTGAACCAATTTAATGTCAATGTCACTCAGCAGCTGTCAGGGTCCTGGTGAGCAGATTTTATGTCCGAAAACACTCTTTGCTGGTGGTTCTGAAAAGAAATTTTGGGGGGATTTCTGGTTCATGGGAAAATTAGAAGAAAATTGGTTTTGTTCTCCTAACTCAACTTTTGGAATGCCAACATTTCTCGCAAATGGGAAATCCTGCATTTCAGCTAGCTCTCCTCTGAAACCTAAAACAAACTTACAACTTAAACTACTTGTAGGTCCCATTGCTAACTGATTTGATTCCAGAGTAGAGTTGATGGCCTCTAGAATCCCAAAGCCTCCATGCTTTTTAGCCACAGCTGCTGCTTTATTCTTACCAGCGAAAGAAGTTTCACATAAGACATTGTCCACTGAGGTGTATCTGCTTTGGCCTGTTTCCTTCACTCTGTCTGGGTGCTCCTTAGAAATATATTCATCGCCCCACTCTTTGCTGTCCTTGGGCTGCTTCCACACAGTCGATGGGGGGTGACCCTTTGGCTGAATGTCAGCTGGCAAGGAAGGCTTGAGGCTGTCTTCTGTCTCTGGGTTTGCACTGCTCCCCCCTAGAAACCACAAGCTGCTCTGAGGACTTAGCAGTTTTTCATGCAGACATTTTTACAAAGATTGCAATGTAGTAATAATTACAAAACATGTCCGGGGGCACAGGGTCCAGAGGCATGGGGGCTGCCCGAAGCCGGTAGCACTCAAGCAGCTCGGCGCTTACAGAGCCCAGGAGTTCAGGGGGCACAGCAGCCGCCGGAGTCCGGGAGGGGAAGTGCCTGGCCGGGGGGGCAGGGTCCGGAGGCATGGGGGCTGCCCGAAGCCCAAGCACTATCGGCTTCACGGTTTGCCCGGCAGCCCCCATGCCTCCGGACCCTGCGCCCCCGGCCAGGCACTTTCCCTCCCGCCCTCCGGCGGCCGCTGTGCG